ATTATTGTTATTATTATTATTATTATTATTACAGAGCGTCGAAGTACAAAAGGTAACCTTTTTTTTGTGAATTTCTTTGAAATTCTTTTATTCTAGGCATTTAATGTTTTACCTTATGTACTTTGTGGTGCTGACATAGTCAACTGTCATGGCAAGAATTTGAACCCATTTTAATGAGGGATAAAATTAGGTTTGAACAAAAGGTTTTTGTTAGGTTTTTCCCTAGGTTCTTGATTGTTTAAAATTGGTTAATTCCTGTAACCCATGAAGACAGTGACCTCAAAAGCCACTTGTTACAATGGGCGAGCTTTTCTTAACATACAAGCAAACTAATCTGTTTCCCATCATTTTGTCTAAAAACTGCAGTGCTGAAAGAATATGTAAATCTTTCTGGTGACAACTACAAAAATTTCTGTGGATTTTGTTTTCTTTTTAAACTCTTGACACTGTAATTGAATTAATGTTTTATCATGGTTTGTTTGGTTTTTTTAAACTAAAAAAAATACAAAGCCTATTTGAATCTTGTACAGCAGGTCCCTTCAATATTTCGTGCTAAAATATTATTTTGGTAGAAGGAGGAGGAATTGTTTTGTTTTAGCTTTTTGGTTTTGTGAAATGCTACTTTGGTTCTGAAATTTAAGTATGCATGTTTCTCTAAGACGCTATAAAGCTTTCAAAATGTATTTGGTTAGAGAAATAACTTTAAAGATCCTTTTTTGCCTTTCCATTTCCTCTAACAATGCCGCAAACTGTTACTTCTTAAAATTCTACTCTTGGGCTTGCACTAGCAATTTGAGGCCATGATTGTTGAGGAAGTTTTCTTTCTTTCTTTTTAAAAATTATGTATTTTATTTTTATTTCATTTCCTTTCTATCCCAGGTATCTCCATTTTCTTTACATCACTTACACATTTCTACAGAGAGTATCTTTCATGTTGTATTTTCCAAAATCTTCAAGTCACCTGTTGCAGATTGCTCCTTTTACTATATAAGGCATAACATAATGTCTGAAATATTTATTTACTGTAAATCCACATTAAATTTTTATTATTAGACACATCCAGCTGCTGAATCTTCTTTCTTGTGAAATTAATAAAGCAATTTCTGAAATAAATTTTAACTACTATTGTTTTATTTACATCAGTTTTTAAACCAGTAAAACTCTGACTTTGTTTGGATTATCTGGATATACCAAACTATTTTTTTCCCCATTGTCCATATAGCATTATACTAACATTAATCATTGCATTAATACAATTTTAAAACCAATGTAGTTAGTTAAGCATACATTTAAATGGCAAAATTATTTTCTGTTACTAGGTTTATAAAGAGTTACAAGAAATTTGGTGGCCCTCTTGAAAGGTAAACTTGTTTGATTATTATTTGCGTAGCAACTTGGCAACTTATTTTCATAAAAATTAGAACAATATACTGAGAAACCTTAGGCTGAAGAGAAAACAGTGTCTAATCTTTTGTCATGAATATGACTTTAGCTTAATATCTTCCCTTTCTTTAGGTATTGTATGTGTGCAAACAGCCACACAACAAACCTTTCGATTCACAGGGCTACTTTCTTGCTTTATAGTTTACCCGCTGTCTTGTTTAATCTTCATTGGTGTTAATCATTCAGGGTGTTTTGTTTGGTAGCCTGTTGAAAGCCTATCAGTTTATGCACTGTGACTGTCAAAGTTAGATTTGCATTTTCCTTATTTTCAGTTCTTATTTTTAAGCTTTATTTATTATTCCAGGTTTTAAGAAAAGCTTCCCATCCTTCTTTTCCTTAAAAATACTTATAGTCCATATGAAATATTATATATAATGATTCCTTTTTTTAAAGAAATGTACAGTAATTTAACACAAAACTGTAGGGTTAGGGTCCTTTCCAGTTCTTGTTCTATTGTACTCTGGTCCGTGAATCACTTCCCCCTTGCCCCTCCCCCCTGCCCTTGGATCAAAACTGTACACAAAATAGCAAATGCAGTTGACTGATAACTTACATGATCATTTCTCTAGTTTCAAAGTCTGAAGGAGTCATTCATAATTACTAAAGTATAAGAGCTATAAAAACGTGCATTTGTTTTATTACAGGTTAGATGCTGTAGCTAGAGACGCTGAGCTAGTTGATAAATCAGAGACAGATCTTAGACGTTTGGGAGAGCTCGTACATAATGGATGCATTAAAGCTTTAAAGGACAATTCATCTGGACAAGAAAGAGCAGGTACAATGTGTTCAAGGGGGCTGGGGGGCAATAAAGGCATCAAGAAGTCTGAATTATTCTTGCACTCTGTTCATAACAGAAAATAGTTTGGGGGGGGAATATAAACAAAAACGTTGTCATGCTGGGACATTTTAAAAAAGGTTCATATTAAGATGACTTTTTTCCCTTTCTCCGTGTTAATTGTCATTGGAGAATGCAGTATGTTTTTGCTGTACTGTGAAATTTAAAAGTAAACTGTTACCTGGAAGACCTTTTGATTCTGGAGCTTAATTCAAGCATTTGGTTAAGAAAAAGTCATTTGGTATAATTGAAAATTTGCTGCTATAGCATCAATCTTACTTGTTTTCTTTACATTTTTCTGTATAATATTCATAAAGGTAAATATTTTAGTAGCTTTGTCATTTATTTTAAGGAGGTAGACTTGGGAAAGTTAAAGGCCCAACATTCCGAATCTCAGGAGTGCAGGTGAATGCAAAGCTAGTCATCTCCCATGAAGAAGAGTTGGCACCACTGCACAAATCCATTCCATCAGACCCAGAAGAAAGAAAAAGGTAATTTTTTTTTTTTTTTAAGGAAGTAGTAATGTAGACAATTTTTCAAGTTTTATTAGCTTTTTTCCAGGCAACTTTGACTCAAAACACACTGTGACAAGCCTTAGCCCTCCATTCCCTGTAAGGACTGGCAGCAGTAACGTGCTCCACGTCTGTTCTTCATTCTTTCTTCCCATGCTGTAGAAGCCAATACCAGCTTTGGCTTCTCCATTGTATTCGCTGGGGACTGTGTTCAGTTACTAAGAATAACCAGAACTAGAATTCAGACTTGCTGAGGAGCTGCTGTATGTATCATCTCTACTTGAGGGGAAAGCATTATCTGTCAAAACATAGCAGTAGTTTTTTCTACCCTCTGAACTCTTT